CAAGATTCAAAAGGAATGCTGTACTACGAATTGCTCAAGGAGGGCCGTACTGTCACCGCTCCCTGTCACGCTGGTCAGCTGCAGAAGCTTGGGAAGCCGTTCGTGAAAAACGGCTTGGACGAATCTCTTCCGACGGCCTCGCCAATGACAACATGCTAAGCTTAACATAGGTAAAAAGGCCCGTGCAAAATTATAGGAGCTAGGCTGGGACGTGGTTTCACCCCAACGTATTCACCTGATAGTGCCCCTTCAGATTATCATTCGTTCCGGACCCTCAATGCTTTCCTAGCAAAAAAAAACAATTCGCCAATTATTACCTTGAACACGTGTTCGGTGACTTGCTTAACTCCAAATCTTCCCAGTTCTCAGAGAAGGCAATCGCTGACCTGCTCATTAGGTGGAACAATGTTATAACTAACTATAATAATTATATTGTTGGTTATCGTGCATCGTTTGCTGAGTTGTAAAATGAAACAGAAAAAAAAATTTCTATCATGCAAAACAACGTAATGTATTTCAAGTCTTGATAGTGGGGCCACATTATATGGAAACAATACGAATATGAAGGCTAGATCGAGTAGAAATTGTCCCTTGAGGTGTTATGCAAATACACAGCTTTATAATAAAGTTTCATTGAGAAATATGTCTTAAATAACAAAAGTCGCATGAACTTTTTTGACAACTTGCTAATTGAATCCTAGTGGGTACCAGCTCGTTTACTGGTCGAATGCACTCGTTCCGAGACATATTACCTCTGAATAAATAGGGAGCAAGCACAGGAAGTTGTTTTGTGAAAAGAGCTCTTCATGACTTTCGAAGATCAACAGCACCTTAGAAAAAACCGTTAGCACTTTAGCAACCGTTTCCAGACTACGGCAGTAGAAGAGCCTGACCCCGCTCCTGTTCTGCTCAAGCTCCGCCCCTTAAGAGCCGGAGATAGCTTCTCCGTTGAAGGAAGAATCAACGAGGATGCTAATAAGTTAGCTTATTTTTTACATCGTTATAATAGCAGAAACGTGCTCATTCGAAACTTTGGAGGGAGAACTTGTTTACTTTCTCTGTTTTGTTTACCCTTCAATGATCGTTTCAAACGCTGCCTGTGCTAATGGGCGGACCAGAAGGGCTATGCTGTGCGCTTGGTCCGCATATCGAATGCCGGGCTGATACGGTCAAGCCGGACTGACACCTAGGCCGGTCCAGCACTTCATACCGCCCACGTCACTCAATGGCAAAGTCTATGATAATTTTGAGGTATCTAGTTTTAGACGAGTGACGGAAGCGATAGTTCAGAATAGTGCAAAAGTGGTGAAAATAACGCGAAAATCGGCGTACTAAGAGAATACGAGGCCTCAAAAATGTAGTAAAATTAGGGGTTGGACAAGGATGTGACGATGAAAGTTCCATGGAAGGGGTATTTGGACGAGCTGTTCGAATGTGCACGCCAATGCATGCTGCTGGCTACAGTATGCGTGCAATGTGTGGGTCGCGATGGAAGTGTTGCAACCCCTGCAACTTTTATAACGAAGTGAGAACCCGTCCGCTTCGAGCGTGGTCTTCACTATGTCCCATCGGAGAACGTTCGTTGCGCGCGTCCGTCGAAAGTAGGTCACCCCGCCCCTGTCACGCACGGCGCACCCTGAGGTCTCGAGATGACATTACAGTACCACCAAGTGCCAGTGGAGCGAACGATTTACATTTGTCCGTGATATCTTCTCTCTGAGCTGACTGCCATGGGCCAAGCGCAAACGTATGCCCCACTGACAGATGGGACGTCCGTCAAGTGTTGCGAGCTGACCCGCCACACGCGACGGCTGCGGCGTGACCTAGTTTCGACGGACGCGCGCAACGAAGCGCACCCTGTCCCATCTAGTCCCAGTTAGAAAACCCTGCAAATGTTTCTATCGGAAATTGTGCCTTTATTGGTATCAGACTAGTTCGGGAAGATGAAAGTTGCTGGTTTGTTCGTCAGATGGCGATCCTAAGTCATTCTATAGGCCACATCAAAACGCCTCTGCAATTCTGAATTTAGTGTGAAAGAGGGGCGCATCCCAAAGCAAGACTGCTCATCACTGGAAGGACTTCATAAATCATGCTTTATCACTTCTAATACTACATCCATTTCAAAATGAGTATCCAATTGCAGAGTTGATTTCAATCTGTACTCATCGGCCAATCCACAACAGAATGCGCTTCATATAAATCCTCGTTTCTATCAAAACATGACCGTCATGAACAGCTACCTGGTTGGTCTTCACTATTAAAAGATCGTATACAAGATGTCTGACGTATTTGAAAAACACAGCGTTGAGTTCTATAGCTGTCCATGATTCTGCTTTGTTCATAATTCGATGCTTTTATGGTACGCATGTTTTGCATTTGCGATTTGCAGCAAAATAAGTAGTAAACAAACTAAAACAAATTTTGCGATAAAAATATTCATAAGATGAAAGGCAGCAACGACAAACACTAACTATTCAATCTGCAGGCTTAATTGGATTGCCTGATTTGATTTTAAACATTAGAGCTAGACTTAGTTTTAGTATCTAGGCAAGAGGATGGGGTGGTGTGTGGCAGGCAGGCTTGCACTATCATACACGCGTCGTCAAGGGTTCGATTCCCGGTCCGGTGCCCGCCTAGACAACCAAGCCTCCCATCCCTTCGTGATCGGTTAATTGTCTACAGACTCGTCCGAAAGGATAAAAGGGCTGACTTGTATATCGGTTGGCCACCGCAAGGCATTGTATAGGCCACATAGTAGGTACTCAACACGCCACTACGATTCTGCTTGGAAGACGAGTGCGGGTTGCATCCCTCAGACGGGAAACCTTCAAAGATTTTAAGGGGTAAACACAATTTGTTGTTTGCGTGACTGATCCAACATATGTATGTTTGGAGATTTTATGGTGTTTTAATTGATATGTTTTAGAATAAAGATTGGGGAGCAGAAGAACAAGCGCCGTTAGTGTTCAGGAAAGGAGAATCATTCACCTTGAGAGTCAGGTAATTTTACGAACTTAGAAT